CTTTTTTGAGGTAAAAGACAAATCCTTCTACAAGCACGGCATCGAGAAGTTAGAGAAGCGTTGGAATGATTGTATTGCCTTTGAAGAAGATTATATTGATGAGCAAAATCGATTTTTGGCAGAAGAAATTTGTTTTTCTTAGGTAGTCACATGACTTATTGAGAGATGTGTTATATACAGGCAAGCTTCCATAACTCGAACTAAGACGAGTGCAACATGGTTTTAGTGAGCAAATTACATATAATTCTGCTTCCATAACTCGTACTTCTATAACTTGAATAAAAATATTGTCACGTGCAAATAGGAATATGGGAAAGTGCATTCTATAAGTCAATTTTTTTTTTAAATATGAATCCATTTTGGTGTTACAGGAAGTCTCTTTTTTCAAACCAAATGTTTAATTTTTTTCTTTCTTATGTTGCTTCTTTGTGCAAATACCAGTCTCTGGCAGCGTGGTTTAAAATAAATAAAATAACTTCCAATGCTACTCTTAACTATTATATTGAGCTTACCTATGAAATTTGTACATCAAGCTTTCCTACAGATGTCGATATTATTGAGCATTATAGCTTTGAATTAGTTGATCCGATTCTAAGTGCAACGGGAAGTGGATGAAAATGTTCATTACGCTTCTAAGAATGAAGTAGAAGACTCATTCAAAATTATTATCTTTAAACGAATGATCACTATAAGGCTTGGAATAAATTATAATCTTTTTTTACTAAAAATAAGAAAAAAAATTAAAATTCCAAACCCTAATTTAGGTTTCACTATACCTATTTATATTATACTAACTTGAATTCTCCATAAGTCGAACTTTTTCTTTGCAAAATAATACTTCGAGTTATAAAAGTTTGACTGTATTTAAAAATTAAAAATAAATAAATAATAAGTAAAAAAATAAAATTAAAAGTAAATAAAGAAAAATAAATTAATTAAATATATAATGACAGGCACTATCCCGTTACTGTAAATAAATTTATACGAGTATGTAATCAGTCACATTCTGTTAAGATAAATGTCAAAAAAAAAGAAGATAATCATTCTTTGGAAAAAGTTTCAATCTGGTATCACTCTGATCACATCACTCAAAAACTGTTGGTCAATCCATACAATTTGTCATTGGTCAACACAAACTTTTTAATCTCTACTTTTTAAAGTAGATGGAAAGCACACAACCACCTCTAAGAAATGAGATAAGAAGATCTGAGCTTTCAAACTGTGAAGAACTTCCGGTTGAAATCACTTTTCAGTAAAGAGGATATATAGCAAATCAGTAACTACTTTACAAAATGCTTGATTTTCAATCATTTATTGTCAGTGAATAGTTAAATACTTTGCATTACCCACTCATTTACATAAGATAACATCGTTGTTATTCCACCATATAGTAAAAATAGTAAAAATTAATAAACTATAATTGTCCCTTGGCTGTCAATGAAAATGTTAACCTTAAACGAATTATTGACGTAGTTTGTACTTAACAATCATGTCTATATATTATATCTTTATCTATTTTAAAGTTTGAAAAGCTCACTTTTCGCAAGAATATAGTAAAAATCTGATTTAAAAGATTGTAAGCATAAATTTAGAAAACAGTGAGGTTTTCTAATTCCATTCCATCTATTCATACAACTGAAGTCAATCATTTTGTTTTATTCAGAAAATGTTTTGATATTTTGATATCTAACAAATTTAAAACGTCACTTTTATATGGTTGTGTAGCGTTTAGCAAAGCTTCAAACACTACTATTCACTAGTTAGAAATTGCACAAAGCCAGGCTCTGAGAAGACTTTTCAAAGTTCCATGGTACATTAGGACGAATGACATCCTCAGGGACATCAAGATTGATCCCATCAAAAAATGAATAAAAAATAGAGCCCTGAAATTATTTGCGAAATCTGATAGACTTACCAACACCGCGGTATCAAATTTCAGAATGGTTACAGGCTCTTCGGGGAGGTATGCAGATCTGAGGTCAATTATTGCTTAGTCTGATGAAGTGATAAACAATAATCTAGTCAAGGCGCAAAGAGGGGTTTTGAAGAAACCTCGAGTTAAAAAAGAGTATAAGTGCCTAAGTGCACTAGCTCAAAACTGCTTCAATATAATAATAAAGACTTATAGAAATCATATTAAAACCTATATAACATTTAAAACATATATTTATTTTAAAACATATTGCTATCTTAAACTGCAGAGATATGTTGTCTTTGAAGCTAACAGTTTTGAGTGCTTTCTTCCAAGTCTATCTATTTACTATATACACTAGTATTACTATTATATATCTATATTATATATATATATATCTTTGACGAAATGAAATAGTGTAATCTCTCCTGTAATTTGTCCTCCAAATTTAAACGCTACGCAATTCTGGAAATTCTATAGTAGTTGTTTGCCTTATCTATAAAAAATTGATAAGAAAAAGTAAACTTTCCTATTGTTTTTAAATTAAATTTAACACTTTCAACTATTTTTAGATAACATGTTAGTAGAAATAATTAAGATCCATGGTATATGGTAATGCTACTTGTCATTTCATAGTGAACTTCAGTTATGACGTCAAAACAGAAAGGTGTAAGAACTGGTTTTATCTTGTATGAGGAACATATTCAATAGAAAACAGCCGGATATATCAGATTTACACTAAAACCTGATATCTCGAGGACTAAACACTATTGTCGCATCTGAGCCTACTTGAACTCAAATAATAGTTTGCTGTGATACCACGGATTAGGGTTACTCATACGTAAAACGACCGCAGGATCACTTGTATGGACAAGTGAAAGTTATTGAACGTATAATGCAGTGGAAAAATTACTCTAAATATCAAAATTTACTAAAACTCACTGCGTCCAGGAATTCGGAGTGGTATTAATATAATTATATTTATTTATGAATTATATTTATTTCGCCGAATCCACTAGGACATATAGTAAAAGAATCCAATCATTAAGCATCTTTCGAGCATCTTTCTTTTAAATATAATTTTAATTTTGTTTACTAAACCTATCAACATTTTTGAAATTTTTAATATTTAATTATAATAAATTATTTTTAATATTCACATATACACAAAATTATATAAATAATAATAAAAACTACTTTTGTCATTTAATAATTATTTAATTATTTAATTTTTTTTTATAATTTAGTTGTAATTTAAATATTAATAGATAAGGTTGAGTATTTTTTAATTAACGGAAAATGTAAATAAAAAAATTAATGAGTAATTTAAAAATTTTCACGATATCAATTTGTATCTCTGGAACTTTTTTAAACAAAGGTATGATATCTTGAAAATCATTGGTGATTGTTAGTAAAATTTTGAACTATTCAATTATTATCTTGACCAAATTACATATTCATTTTCGATATCCGTAAATTAGAAAAAAATATATTAAACTATATTCAAATCATAAAAAAAGATTTATAACAATTAATAATATTTTTAGATATAACACATATAAACCATACTTCAATGCTGTAAATATGAGCACAGCTAAGATAGGTGGCAAAATTGCTTGGGAGACCCAAGTTAGAATTACCGTTGTTACCTCCGTATATTATTCCTGTTGAATCATTTTGTTTTTCAGTTAAAGCTAAGGAGATCCGACAAGTACACTTACATTATCTCTGCCAGTCCAGTCAAGAAACGGTGTTCAAAGTTTATAAGTGCTCTTATCTTTAGTCTTTCTGGGTTCCTGGTCATAGGGATATTGCGGGTAACTGTAGGGCGGATGAACTTGCCAAGACTGGGGCTCTTCTCCCTGGTATTCACTTATTAAAAATTGGCGTTCCACTTGCAACAGCTAAACTGGCAATTCAAGAAAAATATCTAAGCATTGCCAAGCAACAATGGGCAAGTGAGCCCAGTTGTCACATTTCTAGGTTGATTTGGATAAAAACTTGGATAAAAAATGTACGAGGCAGCTGCTCCAACTAAAGAGAGATATGCTCAGGACTACGGTATCGGTGCTGACAGGTCACTGCTTAATAGGGAGGCATGCTATGAGACTAGGTCTTCCTTATAATGACCTTTGTCGCGGTTGTGGCTCTGAGGACGAGGAAACTGTATTTCATCTCATTTGTCAGTACCCATCTTTAGCCAAAAGAAGATCAAAAATCTTGGGGGCCCCTTTTCTGACCGATCTGACGAAACTGTCATCCTACAATGTGAAGGACCTGGCCAGATTCATAGAGCTGTCGGGTTGGTTTTTCTTCACCTAATGGGGGAGTCGTTGCCTCTCTGTTGGGCGTTGGTCGTATACTGATCACCTTATCTATATGAACATTGCTTTTTCCATGTGGTGCCACAGCCGGCCATTATTTGTGCTCAAGTGGGTTTTCTTGGTAAACAAGGCCGCCACTCAACCTACCTATCTAGTTTTTTCTCTTTACAATTCCAGTTGGTACACAAACTGTAGGTGAAGTAGCACACTTTCATTATCTCTGCCATGTCAGTGAAGACACGATGTCCAAAGCAATGAAATGATCTTGTCTGTAGGCTTACTATAGGCTTACCGTTACTATAGGGGTATCAGCTCAACGGCACAGTGGCTCTTTAGAACCCCAGTTAGTACACGAACTGTGGGTTTGGTGATGGGATGTCTGACAAGCACACTTTCATTATCTCTGCCATGTCAGTGAAGACACGATGTCCAAAGCATTGAAATAATCATGTCCGTAGTCTTTTGCATCGACGTATAACTCGATTGATGGATTTTTAAACAAACAATATTTCAGAAATTCTGAAGACATCCAAAAATGGATATTGGATAGATAGATACAATAGGTGAGCAATTTTTGATAGGATCAAAATATATCACCCATCCAGTATATATGTAAATGTAATATTAAATATATATTAAAATTTATCGTATATATATATATTTATTTTTCATCGTAGTTAGCATTGAAATATGAAGAATTTCTATACTTTGAAAATTAAGTTTTTATAATAAAAATTTAAATTTAAAGTTCTTTTTTTTTGAAAATCCAAACTAAAAAAAATATGCCAAATACTGGTTTTATTTCAATCGGTAATTATTTACGGATATTTTATATTTTATTGTTGTACTACATGGATGTAACATGCGGTGTCCTACTGAATGTTGCAAATGTACTTTGGCAAATAGTCCTGATATGGTTTTATTATGTAATTTACAAGATACCAAAATCTATTTTAAGGGCTGGGTACATAAATCGGAAATGCATGAATATAACTCTTAGCAAAGTGAATCTGAATTTGCAGTCGACATATCTTAACATATTACGGTGTCTTTTAGAACCGAAGGACGAAGCAGACCTTGAAATGGAAAAATTTTGCCAAATATGCGAAAAGCTAAGTAATACGGAACCGCAGACACATGAAAAAGAAACTCAAGCTAATTTCGATGGACTCGTTTTAACAGAAAGTATTCAAATTTTAAATTATACCACAAGTAATCCCCTGCAGTCACCTCAGCACTCGGTTTTGGTTATTAAGAAAGAGAATACTCCAATTAATGACAAAACATCTACAGTATCCATTAGTACGATAATAGAACCACTAGAGTTGCCAGAACAAAGACTACCAGTTTTTGTACCGCCACCACCACCACCGCCCCCACCTCCGCCGCCAACAATTTCATTAAAAAAGGAACAATTTGCACAGATTTGTACAATAACAAAGAGCGTTTCATATTCTGTCACACAGGAAAATGACCCTGTGCAAAATAATGAAATATTAACCTTAAAGCCTTTGTTCTGGACTCCGATCATTAACAGTCAGTCGGAGGATGCTTGGTACAAGAGAAAGAAAGGAATATGGAATGAAGTCAAAGAAATAAAAATTGATAACTATAATGAATTCGTTCAATTGTTTTCAGTCCGTAATCATATTTCGAAAAAGAAAACTCCAACGAAAAATATGCCATCTGGCTGTCTCACTTGCGAACGTGGTAGACTTATATCGATAGTTTCCCGTTTTTTTAAAAATAAAATGCATGGTCTGAAAAAGGCCTTATATGAATTGGACTTCTCTGTAATGACCATCGAAGACCTGCAAAAGATCAATAATATAAAAGCAACAAATGTGGAAATAAATTTAATTAAAAAGGCAGCCGGTGATAACATTCCATTAAATGAGGCTGAGCGATTTCTGCTTGATATATCAGAAGTTCCACAATCCTATGATCGCATATTCTGCTTAATTTTTAAAGAAGAATGCTTCGAAGTATCTAAGCCTTTATTACACAAACTAAACGAAATGTGTAGAATATGTCGCTTTCTTCTCACTAACAATGGGCTCAAAACTATATTTTCAATCATTTTAACGTTGGGTAATCTAATGAACTGCGGTAATACAATTCGAGGACGTGCCAAAGGATTTCAATTTGATATTCTGTCGACACTTAATGACATCAGATCTGAAAAGGCACAAATCACATTACTACAGTTTATAATACGTACCTACATACAACGTTGCCTTAAAAATGGCAAGACATTGAATGAAATAAAAATGCCGGTACCGGATTATATGGACGTGAAAACTGTTGCAGAAATTGAACTTGAAGATTTTAAAATAGAAGTAGATGCTCTCAATGATCAGTTAAGAGGTAAGTGATAGTTTCTGTTTTTCCTATTTAAGGCTTAGTTTTTTCCATTTTTGAAAAAAGCTTGCAAAAAAGTGCTAGAAAGAGTCACTTTAAATACATCCAGCAATCCTATTGAACCTTTCAAGAGTGTTATGAAGAAAGCACTACGAAACACCAAAACAGATATTGAAAATTTGTATAATAAACTAGACGAGTGCCGTAATATATTCGATGATACCAAACAGTTTTACTATTACACTTCGAAGCAGCGAAGTACAAACAAAACCGATTTAAAAGACTTTTTAGAAGTTTGGATAATTTTCACAAAACATTTTAAAACCAATTGGGTCAAAGAAATTCGTCTAGCCACTAGTGAGGGATAAACATTGAGTTCATTTTATTGAAGGAGATCCAAGGCTTCAATATTTTCTGAACCTTAAAGCTCACTTTTAAGCTCAGCAAATAATAATTTAAAAAATATTTAACTGTTATCTTTGAAAATAAATTAAAGTAAATAATTTTAAAGAAACAGCTTTATGGTCATTTATATTATTTAATTAAGATAATCTATTGAACCTCAAAGCATTGATCGTCGAACCCGATCAATGCTTTGAGGTGGACATCATAAGGCAATGGTAAGTAACAAAACAGATCGGGAAGTTTCTCAGTGAAGGTGGCTAAATAAAATACTTCATCTGCTACTGCCCAGCATATGCTTCTTGCATATAGTTCAGATTGTTATGTTACGAAGCTGTGAGCATCTTCTTAAACTCATTAACGACACGCAAAATTGAACGTAGAATAACCTCTTCTTCCATTTCTGTTTTCTTTTTTTGTACTTCCAATTTCTTCACTTATGAGTCCTCGATCATAGTGCCATCGTATGTAAGACGTGAAACGCAAAGAATGTGGTTTATATATTTTTTATTTATTTTTACTTAATCCTTGGGAAGATGTATCTGAGGTTTACACGGTACATGAATAAGGTCGGGATGGGTTTAAGATACTTCGAATGGTTATACAAAACGACAACTATCTTTTAAGCAGAAATATATGTTATTGATAGATATATTTACTTAAACTTAATATAGTATTACCGAAATCATAATTTAGCCATCTTCCCTTATAGCTAACATAAATAGCCGTCATTTGGCCGTCCAGTAGATGAAATGTCATCGGTGTCTGTATGACCACGTTTGAATTCGGCATACCAATAACAAATGCTTCTTTTTGATGGAGCAGAGTCCGAATAATGTTTTTCAAGCCATTCCTGGCATTGAACAGTATTTTTTTTCATTAAAAAACAATAAAAAACAAATCAGCACACGGAATTGCTTTGAAATTATTTTTTTTTGAAAACTCAAAAGTAGCGTCACTTAAAGCACTGTAACTTGTAAACAAATGGTCGGATTAACACAAAGGTTGCCACTTTCGAAAAAAAATATTTATTTAATATTAGTGCCGCCATCTATGTGTCAGTCACACACATTATTGAACGACGTGTTAAATAGCCATTCTTTGTTTATAAGCCCTGAACTGTTTGTGGTGTGACAAGAGATAATCCGTATTTTTATATTATGAAAGATGAAAAATAAAACAGACGATTATATGAGGACAACTTTCAATAATTACAACCTATATATAACCAAAAAAAATAATAGAATAGAGTGCCTTAACACACTCTAAATTTATTTAAAATCTATAAATAACTCCAATAACTCTGAGGTTTAGTAAAATGATCTCACCACATATTTGTTTTATTATATGTAAATATTTCAGTAAGTGCTAAATTTGGGGTGATTATATCTAGGACAGTCTTTGACTGCTACACATCTCTAAATGAGTTGTCAACGCAGTTCAATATTTGTCTACTCTGTGTTCTTGGTCACAGCGATATTTTCTTCAATTGCAAACTAAACGAGTTAGCCAGACGGGGTATACTTCAGGAAATCACTTAGAACATCTAAAAAGTCTGGGCATATCGTTGACATCGTACAAACTGTCAGTACTGAGTTTTTCCATTGCCGAATTTTTTTAAAAAAAATTGAAAAACGTTATGCAGGCAACTGTATGTAATTTGGACACGCTCCAATAAAATAAAGTCAAACTCATTGAGATGCCACGTAGAGATCAACACCAATTTTGTAGGTGGTTTACTTATAGGTCACTACATTTTAGATAACATACGTACCGCAATTGTGGAGAGGTCAATGTGCTTCCTATATGCTTTATTTCTGTCCAGCGGCGCATACTGACCAACTTTCTACGTTATAAAGATGATTCAAATAAGAAAAGATGAAATCTATATCCTTTCCAGTATCCCCTCTACTCTAATCTCGAGAATTCATTATATGAACTTTGTTGTTGGAACAAAATGTTATATTTATTATTTAATTATTAGCCGTAAATATCGTTACTATCTTTAACTAACCACCACTGAATTCGAAATATTTATAGATTTGAATAAATTGTAAATATTTCTTATTAAAATTGTCTGGCAAAATATTTACTTTTCATAATCAAATCGTAAATTTTGTCATTTCACATATAAAAAAACTTAAAAAATTAATTAAAATATATTTGTTATTATTCTTTTTGTTCAAAAGGTTTTATTGAGATTTATTAGCACATTTCGTTTATTCGTGGTTAGCATCAATTATCTTAAATTCATAACAAATATTTATTCAAACAAACTTATAAACGTGAAAATATGTAGATACTTTTCGATTTTTAGTTTAGCAATAATAAATATGCGAAGATTGCACCTAGTTTTATATAAAACAATATACTTTCTTTGTTAAATTAATTTTTTTGTACACTTTTTGTTATATACTTTATTATTCTTTTTATACTCAAAATAGTAGTAGGCGTTCTTTTTCGTAATCTACTTCCAAAGAAACACTCGCTTACTTAAAAAGCAAACAGATGGGTAAAGTAGCTACATCAACTAATACATGTTATCCGATTATCTGAAATGACTTATCTGTCTGTGTAGTCCCTTTTGGGAGCGGTGAACGACAATTGCTCGACAAACTTGATGAGTGGCTCCGGGAAGTGATCCGACCGTTCTTGTGCCCGTTCTTTTGGTTATCACATCAACTAGTTCAGATACAACTAAATGTTGCTACTATTAAATCATGTTTATAAAATAAATATATAAATTAAACGGTTTATAAATTAACTTCATCAATTAAGAAGTGACAATTATTTCCGTTTTGCGTATTTGGTCTTAATCCATTGAAAGATTAAAATCACATTTTTCTTCTTGTAATTGTTCTTTTCCACGTCATTTTGTACTATTCACGGTATCGTCTATTTAGTAGAAATCTTCACAACGCTGACTGCGTGGTTGTACTTTGCTACAGATTCATTAGCTGTAATTCATGGCTGTAAAGAAAACCAGCTATCAGTCAGAAGCCAAATATTGTGCGTACTCTATGACACTTTCATTAGTCATCATGTCTGTTACTGACATTACACAATCACTCCGATCCTGGCATGTTACGATCGGAGTGTAAGAAAAGTATTAGCCATACATAGTGCAATTAGGCGATATATTCGGCACGCAGCTTGAGGGCCTAAAGTCAAGTTATATACATATATATTTATGGGTAATAAGACAATATATTTTTTAAATTAATGTAATTAGCTGTAAGTTTCACCAAAATTAAAATTCTGATTAATAGTCTGTAATCCGGCTATATGTGAATTCACTGTTTTATGTCGTTGTGACCGAGAATCCAGATTAGACAAATATTGAACTGACAAATATATTTATGGGTAATGAGACGAAATATTTTAAATTAATGTAATTAGCTGTAAGTTTCACCAGAATTAAAATTCTGATTAATGGTCTGTAATCCGGCTATATTATATGTGAATTCACTGTTGTTTGTGTTATATATCTAAAAAGTGTGTTTTAGCTATATTGTTCACATTACTTCGAAACAAAAATAACTATAATTTTAAATAGAAGTGATATTTAACTGAATTTTCTTTACGCAAAAAATATTCAGTTTTTGTGATTTTTCCAATATATCAATATATCTGATATATTGCAAATCTTTGAGACAACGCAGAGGAAAAAATATACGCCAACCTTTGCTGATAAAACTCGGATGCAAGGAATAGCGATGTTATTTAAAATTTTGTGTCTATTAGACATAAAAAATATATTTCATTCTAAAAAAAATTTATAAATAATAAACAAAATTATTATTTTATATAAATGGTATTTAAGAACTCAATAAGTAAATTTTTTGACTATCTCTATAATTTTATAGAGAAAATATGTAAAATCGATTTTAAGCGAATTATACTTATCTCGTAGTTACTGCCATATTATAATAAAACTATCGCTTTCATACTATATATTTAATGAAAGTCTCGTTTCTTCTTCCTCATATTTTCATTATCATAGTATGAGTCATTTTTATTCATTAAATTACAAATTTTTTTGTTTGAATTCATTATTTACATAAATGTGTAGTTTTTTTTATCGTAAAAATCTTCAAACCGACAACTGTCAAAAATATATTAAGCATATTTTAACTAATAATTCAGCGTAAGCAATTCAGCAACACTACAGAGCTGTCAAAAAATAAGAAAAGTGAAAAATATCTTTAGAAAATAATTTTTAATTTGCGTTTGCAAATGCAAATTATCTTTTAAATTAATTTCTCATTTGCATAAAAATTTTTTCAAAATTGAAGACACAATCCAGTCATGTCATGTTAGCCTAAACCTGATTATTCATATATTGAAATATTTGTTACAAATCAATAAAAACTTCAATAATGTTAATATTCTTATTTATCCACATTCAAAAGAATTATTTGTTCTTTAATACTTCAAACTATTTGAACTCGTTTTGTTCGAATATACTCTAATTCGAACATCTTTTTGTTACTCGAAATATATTGTAAAACTGCTTTACATTTCATTTTATTTTATACAAATACATATAACATCAACTGCTATGGCACCATAATGACTATTTCTTTATTTAAACAAAATGGTTGGTAGAAATAAAAACATATGATTTACTAGATTTTCACTTAAAAGCGTTCCCGTATTTTCTGTGTAAATTAGTTTTCTAATAGATGATTTGCGATTTTATTCTCAGGGACCTCAAGATTGATCCGATCAAAAACTACATAAAGGATAGAGCCCTGAATTTATTTACGAAAACTGACAGACTTACCAACACCGCGTTATCGGATCTCAGAATGGTTACAGACTCGTCGGGGAGGTATGCAGATCTGAGGTCAATTATTGCTTAGTCTGATGAAGTGATAAACAATAACCCAGTCAAGGCGTAGAGAGGGGTTTTGAAGATACTTCGCAGTTAATAGAGAGTAAAAGCGACAACATAATAATTGATTATTTTTACCTGGAAAATACGGAAACAGAATAAAGAATGCCTTACCAAAGAAAGGTATTTGTGATATGTTCAAGTATGAAAATACTACACGAATGCCGAAATGAAAATTTGAAGTTTCCCATTGTTATCGTCGTGAAGTCGTGCAAGTATGTCCAACCCCAGTTCAATCCTGAAAATGTATTGTTGACTGTAATTATATTTATTACTTAAATGCAAAATAAAAAATGTAATAGTATACCTTAACTAGAACCATTGCAAAAAAGAAATTGTGTTTGAACTATAAATTCTTTATATTTCCTAATAATATCAGTCAGTGTTATTCAAATATTCAAACACCATAAATTTTCATTTATTATTGTGAATTGTAGCATATTCAGCGGGACCAAAGAACAACTGAAGTGAACAATTATTATTTAAATATAACTTCAATAATAATTTACATATAATACATAAAAGGCAACAATTCATTTTGTTTAAGTTAACAGCAATTGTATTTTTTCATACTTATTTCCTTCTTTCCCTGAGACAAGTTTTACTATTGGAAGTATATATGCAAACGCTTCGTTCGAAACTTTGTTGTAAAAACCAGTATTTCATTTTTTTTTGAAAGGGCAATGATAAGCATTTTTATCTTATATATTTAAATTAATTTATTTTTTTATAACTTAAATAATATGCTCATATGATTTTAACGGATGACTGGAATCTTGCAACATATTTCCAGTGAACATTCACTATAGACTGATTTTGAATTTGTCTGCGCTGAAATTTAAGCTGCAAAATTTTTTGCGAGTACAATATAACTCTGAAGATTTTAAGAGCATTGTTGTTGCTTCACATGTTTTCTTTCGTAAGTTGGCAATATTTTTCACCATTCTGAAACAAAAAATATGGCTATGGTAGAAAAATGCTTTTATTACACTGTTTTTATATATATTTCATGTATATATTATATACATATTTTTAAATATTAAAAAAAAAAAAACAAAGTAGGTTTATATCATTATTCATAGGTTATTAGAAATTTTATTGTATCATATTATATATCATACTGTATACACATTGCTTAAAATGAAATAAAATTTATTTTAAAAAATATTAAAATTAAACCAAACGAAATGTGGTTTTAATAAAAGATATCATGTTGTTTTCAGAGAGTTCAACAGAAAATCTACTGATCAACATCATATATATATATTAAATTTAGATCCCAAAGATGTTTAGATTCATAATATATGAAAATATATATTGCTAATCCACTTCAAGGTAAATACTTCAATTGTAATTAATTTCAAATTACTCTATTCTATATACTTAGTTTTTTACTGTTGGGTGACCGGCTTTACAAAATTAATCTATTGTGAATGCAAATGTCAAAAAAGTATAAAATTGTTTGAAGAAAATTTTTAATGTTTTGATTTTAAAATCATAAACAAAAAAACTATCACTTACATTCCTTGAAAATATATTTAGAAAAGTTTTATAAAGTTATGTCTGAAGAACCTAAACATTTCGAGGCACTTATTTTACCAATTGTTTACGATATAATTAGGGGGTAAGTCTGCCAAAAAAACGCTACGTCATTTTTAATCAAAATATTTTTTTTTATTTATGTTGACTTATATTTTCAAAACAAACGCAAAATCTTATGCAACGTATTGTTTCTTAAAAATTTTAGTGTAGAAAAAGATCCCATTGAAATTTCTGCTAAACAAAAGGAATCACAGGAGTGCAGTCAAAAGGTAACATGTGCCATTGCAACATTCTTAAGCACATATTTAATAATTTAATTTAATTTTTTATTTTAGATTTTGGAACTGCAAAAGCGGGTAGAAGCCGCTAGAGCATACGTAAATCAGCTACCTGGAATTGAATACAATAAAGAAGAACAACTACAACAATTGGAGTTGGTTAAAAAGCAGCTAAAGTTGGAGAAGGAGATTTTACATAAATACAAGGATATTCAGTTTTAAAAGCCAACATGGTTCTACGCTTGCTCCTGCGCTACTTGGCCAACAATGAACAACTAATTGAGCGAATGGCAGAAAGTTATCCCATGCGCCGTGCAGCACAGATTGTTGTCTCCATGACTTATCGTTTTAAAAATATTGCACAAGAGCGTGGTCTGCATGACATGAGCCCGGAACGCTTTAAGTACGAATATTTATTTAAACATTTAAGTTACGTTTAAATTTTATAATCCAAACAAATGCTTTACATAGATGGCTCCATATAAAAAGGGCATGAAAAGCGTTTTTTTATAGTAACGAAACAGTCGATAGCAAATATTTAACTTTTACGTTTTTGTTAATGATTTTTATTTATGTTATATTTCTACATTATGTTTAATATTCACTTATATAAATTCCTTTACAGATCGTTTATGGAATATTTTAGGAACAATTTGAAGCAGGAAATCGAAGGAGCTAAACAAGAACTGAAGAAAAAGCCATAATAAGCAGAACTGATAGAAATGTGAAATTTTCGCGGGAATTTTACAACAAATATAAACAAGCATCTACTGAAAATAAAAGTATATTTGTTAAAAATTAATGCAAAATTAATTTTACTAATAAAAATTATAATTTGTGCAAATGTTCTAATTACAATACTGTGTTTTTGTTGATATATCCATCACAAAAATATTTGATGTTGTTTCATATGAATATTAGGTTAGGTTAGGGTGCCATGAGCTTTGGAGCACACGGCTGCTGCTATATTTGGCAAAAACTATATAACTAGAAACGGAAACTATATTTAGCACTATTAAGCTTAAGACTATAAATATAAGAAGAATAAATATTAAGAATATAAATATGTGAAGAACGGCTACTTTAATCTTTCGCAATATACACATATGTACATGAATTTTGTACATAGAAGCTAAGCCCCACCCGGCATTTTATGAAATTAAAATATGATTAAATATTCATAATTGCACTCACACATTTTCTAATCAAAAATGATTCTTTTGTCGGAAGAAAATGGTAACCTACCCGCGACTCTTTTTGAAGACTTTTTTATAACCCGGTTCTCTAATCAGACTCATTTTCGAGTCGTATTTGCAATCATTTGCGAGTCTTCTTATAATAAATCATATCCTAAGCCTTAGCATGACTCATTTTTGAGTCTTCTTTTAATCACACATAAAAAAAATAATCAGTTTTTAATCATCAAAAGTGCTCGAATAAGACTAAGGAAGGTGATTTATATTAAAACAATCTTTCAAATGCTGGGTTGGGTTATTTAGTTCACATTGGTCTTTTTGTAACAAATTTAAGACGAAACCAGCATGTCTTCTGTAAGAATAGAACGACGTTAATCTATTAAATACAATTCGTATTATCTTCGAGCAGTCAAATAAGTTTAGAGCTGCCATCTAGGTAGTCTTCCTAGATTTCAAAAAAGCCTTTGACAGAGCCGACCATACACTTGGGCAGCACTCTCCAAAAGGGTGATGTCAGAAAAGATTATAAACTTTCTGAAGGAACTGTACAAGAATACTGTGTCGCGTGTTTCGACATCAAAACGGGTTTGTCACAAGGGTGTATACTGTCACGATTGCTTTTCATTCTCATTGATATTCTCAGCAGAGCATTAAAAAATACCGGGTATATTCGATGAGGATTGTTTGCGTATTCACAAGATCTAGAATTCTTCAATGTTATTCTGCTCAAATCACATACTTGAGGAATGACAGCAGATTATATACGCCATAAGCGAACAAGCAGAGTCTGCCGATTTAAGGATAAGTACAGAAAAAATAAAAAGCATGGCAAGCGGATGCAACAGAGTTCAAAATGTAAAGTTGCATGTAAATGGTAGACAAGAAATTAAATCTGTAAACTCTTCTACCTACCTGGGAAGCAAATAAGAGTTGATGCTTGTATCAACAAAGCGAATGCCGCATTTGGTGCACTTAACAAAATATGGCGGTCCACTGAGCTCAGAAGGTAGACCAAACTGCGAATCTTTAACACAAATGTCAAATCTATCTTGTAATACGGCTGTGAAACATGGAAGCACTCCAGACATATAGAGAGAAAGATGCAAATGTCAACAGGAGTCTACGTAAAAGTCTAAAATATGGTGGCCAGAATAACAAATGAACGTCTGCTGAACCAAAACACTCGAACAGCAGCACAAATTGAAATAAAAATAAGAGAGTGAAAGTGGTTAGGCTTCGACAACCGAGAAATTACATGGCGAGAGAAGCTTTGGTATGGAATCCACAAGATAGCAGAAGAGTGCGTCAGCGAAAATGTGGAGAAGAACGGTTCAAAAGTAGGTTAGCTGAAGCACGATATACATGGAATCAGATCTATAGAGAAGTACTAAATAAAGTTAGATTTAGAAGTATCATTGAGGTCCTATACCACACTGGGAGAAGTTAACAAATTTGAGTGCACATTTAAGTATGAAAATAGCAAAGCGATGTCCTGTCGAATAGAGATGCACTTTGAACACATATTAGCAATGGACGTATTTATTGCGCGACTAGTAACCAAATAGCATGTTGTTTTATCTTGACCTCAGTTGAAGAAAGGAGACGCTATTGTATAAAAAGGGCCATTGTATAAAGATTTTAATTGTTTGAAGAATTTTTCTTTTATAATTTTAATTAAAATCTCAAGTGGCAGCGACCCTAAAATAAAATTCGCGGCAGCGTTTTGCATTAGTAAAATTAAAATTTATTAAATCAAATTTTTACATGTATTACATAGTCTTTTATGTAGGAAAGAAATTAAACACACATAGATCATATAATTTATTGAAATTAATATTTAATGCCTATGCCTATTCGTCCAAAAATATTACTTTTCTTTACTGTACTTTTGTCAATTACTTAAAAGCGAATTCACTGCGCTTTGCTGATATGTGAACTGTTTGCTTGTGGTTGGTCATTCTTTATGTTTCCAGCGGTACCAGCTGGATTTGCCGTACTTGTATTTCCTGCCGCACCATTGGTGTTATGTGAATAATTACGTTTTGTACGTTTGCCAGAACGATTGTCACGTTTATCAACGCTAGCTTCTAAGACTCCCTCGGCAGGTGTTGTTGATACTTGCTTTGCAGTTGCCGCTTGTACATTTGGACTTTGGTTTTGATTTTGTGAATGCGAACTTCCTTGACCAGTGCCACGTGATTGCATTTTGTTAGGTTTAGCTCGGTGATGTATAGCAACGGAGTTTGTGATTGGTTTTAGAACATTACCAACAGCTTTCGTACGGCCTTCACGGAATACCATACGTTGCCCAGGACGAATATATTCTGGATGTTTGATGAACCTAAATTTGACGTGTGCTTTATCACCAGTTCTCAAACATTCTTTAGACATATTAACAATGGAAGCAGTTTGACGTATACTGCCACAGTGCACCATAGCTTGGTAGCGTGATGATATAGTTGTGGGGTGATGAAGTACGAGAATTTCACCCTCGAACTCCCAGCAAGCTTGTGGCTTAAGCTCTGGACTAACCATAACCTAAAATAAAATATAATAATGTATAAAAATTTCAATATTGTAAGCTATTGGCTTACCATTCCTTTACGAATTTGAGATCGTTTAATTTTCTTGAGCGCAAAACTTGCAGTCTGACCGCCACGTACCTCTTTTACATTCATACGTTTGCGATGTATACTTTTCACAGCTATAGGTGTAAAGTTGCCTAAAGGGTCTGGACCCAACATCAGTATATCATTAAGCTTTATCAAACCCTGTAGGCAAGTACCCGATACAACAGTGCCCACACCTGGTACTGAGTATGTATCGTCAATCTGAAATTCAGCTGGTTGATCGCCTTGCCCAGACATACGTGCTGTTAGCAGATTCAAGAACATTTTGAGTAGATTTAAATTCTCTCCGGTAACATTGGAAACTTGAAATATTGGACATAATCGTTCAGAAACAAAATTGGTTGCACTTAGCACAACCTCATCGGGTGTTTTGACCATAACTGGTACTTTGCGACAACCTTGGGATTTCAGAATTTTAAACAATAATTTAAGATTGTCTTGGAGCACGTTTGGAGGACACATGTCTATTTTTGTGACAACAACAAAAACTGGTACAGATAATGCTAGCGCTAAACCAAGATGCTCTTTAGTCATGCCAACAATGCCTGCATTTGCGCCAATCTGTAAGTTATACATTTTTAATATTCGGTTCCATGTTTAATATTGCCTTATCAATTTTCTTACCATTAGCATTCCAAAATCTGGGGCATGACCAGTCATGCCAAAAACGGTTGTTTTCAAGTAGCGCTCATGTCCGGCTAAATCAATGAATGTTATAACTTTAGCTGATTTTTCACAAATCTTGACCCAATCGAGTGTACCATGATCTGGTTTATTGACCACATTACCAATACTGTCAAATCCTGGAAATAACGTATACCAAAATTTTAGGTTTTCTGTTTTTTACACTTATATTATTATCTATTATTTTGGAAGAACTATTTTGCATATTTTTCTTTGTGCTCAAAACTTCAACTTCTGAAGCTTTGTCACTATCACGGCCTTGTAACCATACCATAGTTACAAAGCCATGCCCTCCGGTGGCTAGCCACTGGAAACTACCATTTGTAAGACCCTCAAATATTGGTCTATTAATTTTCAAAAAGTTAGACAAGCAGCGAATATACATGGTCTATCACAAAATGAAGGAAGGATATGGAATGATTCGTGGGAAATGGAATAAACCAAAATATGGTATAAGGGAATGTGTAACTTCTTCTCTAATCTGACATGTGCCATTTTTCAGCTGAAACCACTATTTCTTTATTACATGCATAGGTTCTTATTTTTAACTTGGAAAAACTGTTATTCACAGAGATTTCATCTGAATTATATGTTATAGAATTAGGAAATGTTATAGAGATTTGACAAAAGGGAGCTTTGTAACTGTCTTGGCTCCATAATTATTTCCATATTTAACGAATCATGCACATGATGTATTGCCCCATGAAAATACTTGGGTACACAAATATACAAATTTCTAGTCATGTATTAAGATAAAAAAAACCTTCCTCATAGACCGTGCAAATATATATTGTGGTGCATATTTGGATGCTAATTGCACTTGAGCAATGACTTTTTCGTCTATAAACCGGACTATTAAAAAAACACAGAGAGTATGAGGAGGGATATTTTTTTAAAGATGCTTTTAAGAGACGATCATAGCGATGGAATAAAAATTATTTTGGAGATATGTGAGATAATAATTGAAGTCAAGCTAAGTGAATGCTGATAAACCTAACCACTTCAATGGGGCGGATCCAAATGTGGATTAGACACAAGACATCAAAACAAATGAACAACTTCGTCATATTTAGAGTTATTTATTTATTAAGAGATATTTAGAGTTGAAATAATGTTGGTAACTAACATGTTTATGAGTAAGTAACTGTTAAGCACATGTCTGTATCCTAATCTCAATTGATCTAGAACATTTCTTGTTGCACGTGGAATGTATAGTTTTTCTTACAAGATATTAGGCTTAGGCCTA